AACGAAATATGGTCGGTTAAAGCTTTTTTAGTCAGGTTTTCAAAAAGAGCAGGACGACGCGTACCACGAGGAACTGATCCAATGGCCTCTCGTGTTGAGTCCACTATCACCTACACCATGCTATGCATACGTTCTATCCTTGCTTAGCTATCAAGGCGGCTCCATGCGATAGCATTCAAGTACAGTGTTGAGGGCAAAACTTCCGTAACTCCATTCAGAGCATCCGTTTAGCAGATAAAAAGCGGTTTCTAGCTTATCGTCTCAAGACGAATGCATAGGTATACACCTCATTGCAAATGGCCGGACCGACCTTATGACCTTTCCTGGTTAGTAGTTGCCACAGCTGAAGCTATAAATAGCGATATAAAAAAAGTTTTGGGTTTGCAATTTTCTATCATCTTTGGTGACAAATTCAAACTTTTAAGAGCAGCAAGAAATATGTCCTATCAAGGCCTTACCGCTTCGAATGGCGTGGTGCGGTATGTTGATGGACTTGAGAAGGTCTGTTGAACATTAAGCTTTTTTCAGGATATTCGTTACGCAACAGCATTGCACATTTTAGATTCTGGGAAGTGAGCTTCTTGGTGCTGCTTTGTCAGCTCCTCTTGCATCCTATACGAAAATCTACGCGCTTCCTATGCTTACAATTAAGGATGACAAAGGTTCACTTTCCGTTTGAAAAAGTTAAATTCATTGAAATCTTTCTGGTTGTGATGTTATTTGATGAAGTCTTATTGACATCATTTTTTGGTCTCCTCGTTTTGATTTTTTCTATAGATTCTTTGGTGTTAGACTTACTTCGCTTGTCAACTTTATATCCATCAGGAACTGGAGTGGTAACATCTGTGCCGTCAGATTCTCCGGATGATTTCGCAGCGTTATCAGATCTGAAAAAGAAGAAACCGCTCCGTGAGAAGTACGGAATAACGGACGAAATGGTTCTTCCTTTCGAGCCTGTAAGTACATATGGATGGATTTGTTATGTAGAAGTTCAGTCGACAAATTGATATTACAATCTTAGCTAGAATCTGTTTCCATTGTAGGTGCCAATCATTGAAATTGAAGGACTGGGTAACCTCGCAGCTGTTGAAATGTGCCATCGTTTGAAGATTGAGTCTCAAAATGATAAGGATAAATTGGAAGAAGCGAAAAAGGAAGTCTACCTCAAGGGATTTTACGATGGTGTATGTTTTTTTTCTCGAAACTCACCTTGTCTCGATTCTTTTCCTGGTTCTGTATTCGTAATTCTAGGTAATGATAGTCGGCAAGTATGCGTCTCAGAAGACGGCTGATGTGAAGAAATTAATTCAGGCAGATTTGATTGGAGAGGGACTCGCTAAAAAGTAAGATCGCATAACAATCAATACTAAATTGTAACATTGTTAGAAGTTGTGTTCTCCTATATTGTGGTCAGCTACGACAAGTGTTAAGTGTTATGCAATTGAGTGTTCGGAGAGGAATCCCATTTTAAAGGAAACTAGGGGCCTATACAGTCGAGATGTCATGTTGCGGTGAAGAGTACGCCCGAGTTAAGGGCACACTCCACGATTGAATTGGTGTCATTCTTACGCATCAAAATGGAAAGTGGGCGATGGACTGGAAGTGAAGAGAAACTGCCGAAACACTCAAATTGTGGCTTTCAGTTTTGTGAGGCTAAGTTTGCTAAGACAATGAGACACTGAGCGTCGAGGTGAGGGTATAGGCGAAAATGCACAAGACGAGAGAGACCACATCTACGACCTTCGTAGACGATTCTTATTCTTTGAAAGGGTCGATGCCTGAATTCTTTGTGTGGTGTGTCTTCAACATGGCCCTTCGTATCTGCCGGCTCCACCTTCAACGCTCGCTCCACCTCCAAAACGCTGAGCCACTACTAACTTTCAACTCTGCGCTTCAGATAGGTGTCAGGCTCGGCGCAGTCGCGACATAGCTGCGAGAACACCGTCACAATTGCAAAGTGCAACCGCGAAAGTGCCGCTCTTGTCACTTTCTCACGTTCTTGAGCCGCAGCGCTGTGGTTGTCCTGATTGCACACTCGCGACTCTGACACCTACCCTATCTTCTGAAGCGTTCACGTTGTTTGTGCCACAGTCATCGTGTATTCATGTCTAGCGCCCCAACCAACGTCGCAAAACTACCCATACCACCCACAAATCCTAGGCTTGGGCCGTTTCTCCTCCTCACCGCTGTACCATTTGCTTTCTTTGAATACCAATATTTTGAACGCATAAAAATCTTGCTTGTTCTTTGAAATGCGTATAGCCGCCATAAGTAAAAAAAAATCGACGTGTAATAATCCAGAACTAACTTCCATCTTATTGTAGATATGTGGAGCCTGAGAAGAAGGTGATTAGTCGAAGTGGAGATGAATGCGTCGTGGCTCTCTGCGATCAGTGGTAAGAATAATCGTTTGAGGCAATGGTCAACCGGAAGGCTTGGTGATTCAGTGTTTTGTAGTGTTCTCTGGGACTCTCGCACATACACACTATTACAGCATCTCTGCTTTCTTTCCCTCCTTCGAAAGGCTTAGTCCCAGAAATGTGCTTTTCTGTCTGGACTCGCACACGTTGGTTGACCACTGCCCCGTAAACCTTATGCTTTGTGTTGTTTTTTTTTTGTGGGATTTAAATCAGCAAGCTTCTTATTCATCGATCAGAAACGCAAACATCCATCAAAAGACTTACTAACATTTGATAACAAGAGAAGTACCATGCGCTTAGATTACTGGATTTGTGGAGTCAAAAAAGGAACAAGTTTGTGTGAATTCATTGTGTAGCCACAATAACGGTCTTATGCTCACGGCAGACATGGTCAAAATGTGATCATTATACCAAAGATGGATATTGTGAAACTTTCAGCTTCGTTTTGAAGATC